TTGGGCGAGTCCATGGGGACAGTGAAATACGCTATTAAACTGGTGGAAACAAAACCCTGCAGACTCTTATAGCATTTAAAAGACTGTTAAAGGCCAGCTCGGCGCTGCGGCAGTGGCACGGCGCTGTCTGTGGGTCCCACTGCGTGGCAGGGTGTAAAGGTGCGGATGGATCGGCTTGAGCCCGCGTAGCTACATTGCTTACACATGTTTTTTTTTTTTTTTTTTTTTTTTTTGGAGCGTAGTCTCGTCTGATCGCCCGTGCTGGATGCAGTGGCGGATCTCGTCCACGGCAAGCTTCCACCCCCCAGGTTCACGCCACTGTCCTGCCTCCGCCTCCCGAGTAGCTGTGGACTACAGGCGCCCGCCACCCTCGCGTGCCGGCTAGTTTTTTTTTGTATTTTTTAGTAGAGACGGTTAGAGTTCACTGTGTTGGGCCAGGATGCGGTCTCGGAATCTCCTGAACCTCGTAATAACCGCACATGATCTCAGCCTCAAAGTCGCTGGGAGATTACAGGCTTGAGCACGGCAGCCCCCGGCCTATGGCTACAAACTTTTTTTTTTTTCTTCGATAATTCTTTTTTTTGAAGACGGACACACAGCGCTCGCTCTGATCACCCAGGGCTGGGAGTGCAGTGGCACGGATATCAGCTCACCTGCAAGCTACCGCCTCACAACAGGTTCCGCACATTCTCCTGACCTGCCATCTCGAGGTGCTGGGCACTACAAGCGCGACAAGCCAATGTCACCGCTAGGTAGATTTTTGATGATTTTTATTACAGTAGAAGACGCGGGTTTCACAGTGTTAGCCAGGATGGGTCTCGATTCTAGAACCTCCGTGGATTCCGGCCGCCGTCTCGGCCTCCCAAGTACGGCATGGGCATTACAGATGCTTGAGCCACCGGCGGCCAACGGACAACGATTGACGACAAACATCTTGTTTTAAAGAAAAAACTTAGCTGCGGGGAACCAGCAGGAGAAAATGCTGGTGGCTCACCGCTGTGAATCCCAGCACTTGTTGGGACTGCCAAGCGCCGGATCACTGAGGTCGGGAGGATCCGGGACCATCCCGGGCTAAACGGTGGAAACCCTGTTCTCTACTAAAAAAATACAATAACAAAGGTAGGCCGGCAGGTGCGGCGCCCATGGTCGTCCCAGGGCTACTCGGCGAGGGCGTGAGCAGGAGAATGGCGTGAACTTGGGAGATTGGAGGTTGCAGTGGCCAAGATGGCGCCACTGCAACAACTCCAGCCTGGGCCGCAGAGCGAGGAATCCGTCTCAAAAATAAAAAAAAAAAATTAGCCAGGCATGGTGGCACATGCCTGTGGTCCCAGCTACTCAGGAAGCTGAGGCAGGAGGATTGCCTGAACTGGCAAGGCGGAGGTTGCAGTGAGCCAAGATGGTGTCACCGCATTCTGGCCTGGGCGACAGCGAGACTCAGTCTCAAAACAAACAAACAAACAAACAAAAACGAAAAAAGAGAGAGTAAATGGCTGGGAACAGCTCAGACCGTGCTGTGGAGGAGGCAGGAGTGGGTGCCCCCTCCTGCTGAACATCCAGGCCTCGGGGGAAGCTACGGGAGGTGGGATGGAGCCCAGTGCAGCCTGGAGACAGGGTCTTGGGCCAGGCAGAGTCTGGAGCAGGGAGCGCCGGGCCCACAGGGGCAGCCGGGTGGGGAGAGGTGGGCGGCTCTGTGAACGGCGCTGGGAAAATCAGTAATTCCACATGGGAAAAATCAGGGCTGTACTTCCCACCACACACAAATGCATTTCCAATGAATTAACGGCTTCAGTGAGAAAAGCAAAGCTTGTAACTTGTAGAAGAGCATATGTGAAAACATATTGAAGAGCTTTGAGTAAGAAAGGGTTTTTAAGGACAAGACCCCAAAAAACTCAAACTATAAGAAAGAAGAGATTAATGCATTTGAATACATTAAAATTTAACAATTCTGCACATGCTTTAACAAATGAAGCCAAAGGCCACTCACGTAACCAACGTATAATCACGAAAAATACCCACCAGCCCAACAGGAAATGGGCAAAGAACTGAAACAGGCGACTTGCAGGAAAATCCAATGGCCCAGAAACATACTCGAGATGTTCCACCTAACTCGTAATCAGGGAAATGCAAATTACAAGAAGAAGATTCCACATCACACTCAGCACCGTGGTGAAAACTCAACGTCTCCCATCGGGATGTTGGCCCGTTGGTGAGATGGGGTGTCTCACACCCGCTGTGCACAGCCTCCTTGGAAGGCATCAGGCAAAATCGAGGAAGTGGAAGACATCTGGGCCTACGATCCAGTGATTCCACTCGCAGGAGTATCTTCTGGAGAAATTCTTCCACTCTGCAAGAGGTTGCACTTGCAGCCGACTGCAGCTTTGCTCTTGGAGGGGAGGGTCCAATGGCTGGGGTCAGTGCACACCCCACAGAGTGACCTGAGGACAACCAGAGCAAGGCAGTCAACACAGGGGACAGCAAAGCCCTACATGAGCCAAAAACGTCCTCACGGAGGAGCCTGCGCTCTGTGGGCCACACAGGCCAGCACTGAAACCTAAACCCACGACATCACTCAGGCATCGGGGCTGGGGAAGGCGTCCACCTGGTAACAGAGCCCAGAGGCTTAGGAGGCCAGAGGACTCAGACTCCATGAACCTGGGCCGGGAAGTACACGGGGTTGGTTGGCCGTAATCTTCTGTCTTCTGTCCTCAATGTTTAAAATTTTTTTTATTTAAAAAATGTTCTTAATCCACATTAGTAGATTTCACTATCCTGGGGACAGCAGAAGCGGGAGGGGGACCCGTGGGCTTCCGTGAAGACGGGGAGGAGCTGCGTGGACTCCGCCCGCCGATTAGAAAGCGTGGGTCCCGGGCCTGGGCCCACCTCCCCAAGCTCAGCCTGGGGCCAGCTCTGCTGGCTCCCGACCGGCCCTTGAGGCTGCTCTGATCCTGCTGTGGCTGTCATGGATGCTGGGCCCAGGGCGGCCGCACCTGGAGTGTGGCTCTGAGGCCAGATCTGTGTTGTTTGTGGACATTTACCTGTCTGTGTGTGTGTGCTGTGAGCATATGTGCACACCCGTCAGCGTGTGTGTGTGTGCCCAGCGGGCAGCCCATTCAGCTGGTGTGGGGTGTCGTCTTTTTTCTAGCTAAGACGCGGCTCTTCCCCATTGGGATGGGAATATGGGCACGCGGCTGATGCATTAAAGGCACCACGTGCTGCTGGCGTTGCTGCTGTCTTAATGGGCTTCGCTGCGCGGCAGGGCAGGGCTGGCAGGTGGTAATGAAGGAGACTGATGACTCCGTGGCTACAGTAACTGAATGGTTGTGAGTGTCTGGTCAGACTGTCAATGGGGGGCATGCCCTGCGAGCCAATGACGATAGGCTGCCTGGGTGGGCACAGAGAGGCCTGAGGGTGTGGCGTCTCCCTCCTCTGCAATGCCAGGGTGTGCAGGTGCACCCATGTGTATCTATGTGTGTGTGACGGCTGCACACACGCTTGCTGATGTGGACTCACACGCACCCCCGTGTCCCAGGGAGATGGGGCAGGGCCCACAGGGGAACGAAGCTGGGATGGGCACCACCAGAGAGGCCGAATTGCACAGGGGTGGACACAGAACGGAGGCAGCGGCTGGCCCAGGACAGTCAGGGCCTGGCTGGCACAGCTTGGGGTCCTGTGCCCACCCTGCGCTCCTAAGGCCCTGGGCCAGCCTGGGAGCACCCTGGGTTCTGAGGATGCGCTCACTGGCCTGCAGGCACCAAGCTCCACCCGTCCCAGCCTGGACAGGGCCCTGGGGAGCCCACTGGTCAGGGACTGAGGGGACCCCTCTGCTGAGCCTCTCATGCTGAGCGGCCTCTGCGTGGCGCTCCCTCCCCATCCCTGGAGCTGGGCTAGGAACCTTCTGGAACATGCCTTCCACGGGACCCTCTCATGCCCTTGCACGACTGCACCTTGTTCCTGTGTCACCAATGAGGACATGGGCTCTGAGCCGCCGAGTGACCTGTTGGGGGCAGAGCTGGTGCCAGCCGTCCCAGCTTGAGGACTTGCCATAGCTTGGGACCCATGGAGGGAAGGTAGGGGGAGGTGCTGAGGGGATGAGGAGATGAAAGGCAGAGCTGGGCCTTGGGGCAAGGCCAGTGGCAGCACCGGGCTCCTGGACACAGCAGATGGCCCCAGGGAACTGGCCCTGCCCTGCCCTGCCCTAGAGACCCCTCTGTCTCCAAGTCCTCGTGGGCCTGGCTTCACGTCCCCAGCTCTTGCCGGGTGTGACGGGTGGGCATGGAGGGTGCCTCAGCCCAGCCCAGGGAGGACCAGCCACGCGGCAGGAAGGCGGAGGGAGTGCCTAGAGTCAGCAGGGCGGCCACCAAGACCCCACACTGACGCAGGGACCGAGGCACCCCGGCCGGTTTCCAGGAGAGCCCGGCGCTGGCCCCTCCCTTACTCTTAGGGTTCCCGCCCAGGCAGGCTGGTGTGGGGACTGGGAACCAGCGTGACCCAAGACAGGTCGCCTGCGTGTCCTCTCACATCCGATTCCACCAACACCAAGGTTCCTTCTGCAGGCTCCTGGGAAAATCCATTTTCCGCCTCTTTGGGCTTCCGGAGGCGTTTCCTTGGCTGGGGGCCCCTCACAAAGCCAGCAGTGGCCGGCCAGTCCCCTCACGCTCACCTCTGCCACAGCTTCCCTCTTCCACTTAGCAGGATGGGGGTACCCTGTGCCCTCGCAGGTCACCCAGGGCAGCCTCCCTGTTGAGGGAGCTGATGGACCGTCCACAGCTGCAGGTCCCCACTGCTGTGTGAACTCACAGGTCCCAGGGTGAGGAAGCGGGGGTCTTCGGGGCCGTCATTCTGCCGCCCACAGGTGGGAGCCTCCTCACAGGGCATCGGGCCTCAGTGGCAGCTGGGGAGCTGCAGGGACTGTGGGGTGCCCAGCAGGGCGGGCTCAGTACTGCCCGCAGGACCACCCTGCTGTTAGGGCGACTCGGCGGCTTGCAGCCTTCTCAGCTCAGTTCCTGTCAGCTGACCGGGACGGCCCTGCCCCGCCTGCACTTGCCCTAGGAGCTGGGGGTCTCCATCCAGCAAGACTGCGAAGGAGGCCACCCCGAGACCGGCTGCCACAGATCACATGCTGGCCCTGGCTGCCGGCTACGGCCAGGGGACACCCTCCTTGAGACTCCCAGGGTGAGGCTTAGCTCCTGAGGACCGAGTGGCCTCTGCATGGCGCTCCCTCCCCATCCCTCCGCCTCTCCAGATCTCCTGCCTGGCTCAACGCACGTCCATCCTGGGCCCTCCCAGCCTTACCTGGCCGAGGCATGGCCTTGCCCACCTGCCTGGGCCATTCCCTCCTGACCGGGTGCGATCTGCAGACGGCAGTGTCAGCGTTGCACGGAGGAGCCGCGGCCGACGCCCACAGCACGTGCTATGTCCGTAAGCTGCGCCCAGTCCAGCCTGGCTGCTCCCCGTCGGAGCCTGAGCTTGCAGGCCAGAGGAGACGACCTTGGGCTTTGGCCCCAAGCCTGTGAGTCACACCCCTGCCCTCAACTCACCTGCCTCAGCTGCTCATGTGCAAAGCAGGCTGAGCGCGCTGACTTCCGCGGGTGTGAGAACCCTGGGAAGGCACTTGGAGGGTGTCAGAACCTGGCAGGTGCCTCCAGTGTGTGGGACAGTGTGCGCTGGGTGTGTGGGGACCTGCGGCAGCGCCCTCCGGCCACCTTCAGAGGGGCTGGTGCTCAGGGGGTGCCTGTCGGACCCGGGACCCGCCCCTTCCCCACACCCGCCTGTGGGGACCTGAGGGCTTTCTGCTCAGAGAGAGGCAGATCCATGGTCGTCCATCCTGTGACAACCACATGCTCCCGAGCCGTGCTCATGGCTGTGCTCATGGCTGTGCCGGCGGCTAGCAGGGGATGCCGTGGCCGTCGTGGGTGATGGATCAGGAGGTGCAGTCACAGATGTTTATCCTCCAGTGACCTGGTCTCTCCTGTGGCTGCGGAGGAGATGCACGTGGGGTGAGATCGTTCGTATCGATCCATTTGGTGAGCTGCTCATTCTCCACGTCGTCGATGTTTTCACGCAGGGTCCACTTTACGCTTCCAGGCAGGAGAGCGGCTGCACTGACTGCTCTGTGGCCAGGGAGGAGGGGACAGAATTGGCCCCCAGGGCCCGTGGAGGCAGGCTCTGTGGGCCTGGGGGGAGTGGGAGTCCTCTCACTCAGGAAGGCTCTAGAAGGGCCACCAAGAGCAGCCGCACCAAGGACCTCGCGGTGAGAGCAGCTGAGCGAATCCTAACCTGATCAGACACAGTGTGAGGGGAGCCGGGGCCCCAGTGCAGCTGCCTTGGGCGACAGTGATCACAGGCCCGGCTGAGCCTGAAGATGAGGACGGGGGAGGGAAGGAGGGACTGGTGTGCACATAGGTGTCCATGTGCATGTATGTACGCAGGCGTGTGTGAGACACACATACATGTGACATGCAGGCGTGTGTGAGGCACATAGGTGTCCATGTGCATGTATGTGTGCAGGCGTGTGTGTGAGACACACATACATGTGACATGCAGGCGTGTGTGAGACACATACATGTGATATATGCAGGCATGTGAGACATACGTGTGGTGTATGCAGACGTGTGAGATACATACATGTGATATGTGCAGGCGTGTGTGTGAGACAGACATACCTGTGGGGTATGCAGGTGCATGTGTGAGACACACATACATATGATACATGCAGGTGTGTGTGTGAGACATACATACCTGTGGTCCACGCCCATCTGCACACATCCTGTTACTGAAGGTTAACTCAGTGGCCGGCGCACTCACCACCTTCTCACCAAGGCCGGCAACAAGTTGCTGTTCTGCACGAGGGCCTCCTCCCAGCCTCCCAGCAAACGAGGCCAGAAGCTTTGACACGAGGGTCTGGGAGTCACAGCTCCTCCAGGTCAGTGGTGCCCACAGCACTTACCACGCCGCCCACTGTCTCGCTCCATGCTGTGCCTGGCGCTGCATGTGTCCTAAGGCTCCTGCTCCCAACCCTGGTGCCACCGGGCCAGAGTCCAGGTGGGAGGGCGGTGTGGGGCATGTGTGTAGCCAGTCCCTATGGACAGGACTCCCGAGGGAACAAAGCCCCACTCCTTGGTCAGGGCCAGAAGGGCCCAGAGAGAGCAGCAGCCTCAGTTTACAGAGTAGGGAAACTGAGGCAGAGCAGGCTCAGGCCTTCTGTGTTGGGCCTGGACACCTGGGAGGAAGGCAGCCCCAAGGGCCGCTGCTGGGCGGGAATGTGGGCCCGGCTTGGCACTGCTCAGCTGCCTCAGGCCTGTCCTGTCCCGGGGGGCGTCTACGCCTCAGTGGACCCACCAGCCTAATGCCTGGGCTGCTGGCCCGGGCCCTATCTGTGGAACGAATGGAGGAAGCAGGAGCTGGGCCCATGGTCTCCCTGCCCGGGAAGCCGCAGGTGGAGGGAAGGCAGAGGGTGGCAGGGGTTTCACCCTGGCCCCTGATGAGGGAGGGGCAGGAAGGACAGGGTGGCAGCTACCACAGGCTGCATGTGGGACTTTGCTGGCAGCAGCAGGCACGGTGCCACAGCCTTGGGGACCAGCTGGTCTCCACGAGTCCCGCCATCCCCTGGTGCCTGAGAGAAGCTGGGCCACTCGCCTGGAAGCAGCTCCTGGCAGCACCTCCGTGTCTGGCTGGGGTCAGAGCTGGCTGACTTTTCAGATTCAAGTCAGCCTCCCCAGGAGGTCAAAGGCAGCAGGCACGCAGAGGCAGCTTCGGACCCGGCGGGTGGCAGCCCTGCTCCCAGGGCACCTGCTCCTGGGTCTAACTTGTGTGGCGTGGGCCGCCCAGCAAGGGGCAGGGTGTGCGGGGCAGGTGCTGCCAGCCATGTGGAACTTAGCTATCCTCGTGGGGCTCAGTCACGGTGACTTGGCAAACAGGGCCCCCTGCCTGTGTCTCCAGAGGCCAGGTCAGCACCAGAGACCAAGACGGGGAATAAACTGGGCTTTAATGGGGAGGGAGGAGCGGATGAGTTCCCTCCAGGATGAGCTTGTTCTCGGCTGGTGGAGCGGAGGGGAAACGGCCTGGCTGGGTGCTGGCGGACTGTGTGCACGAAGGATGAGATTGTTCTCGGCTGGTGGAGCAGAGGGGAAACAGGGGCTGGCTGGGTGCTGGCGGACTGTGTGCACGAAGGCCGACCGACCTGGCACAGGAACCGGCTGGAGAGTCACTCGTGACTTTAGAACACGGCATTCAACCGCACATCCTTGGAGCACCATATTCTGGTCAATAGGCTGGTCAGCGAGCCCCAGGCTTTCTGTAGCTTGTGGTATTGTCAGGAGAAAGTCATCCTCATTATTTTGAAAGCATATGATCTATACTATTGGATAAAGCAAATGATTATGGAATCAAGTTTCAGGATTAAAGGAGAGAGATGCAAATGTAAAATTAGTGGAATTAAGTAAAAATCTTGCTATGTTAAATTTGATCCTTTCCGCAACAGAAGGCATTTCCTTAGCTACCAGCAAGGCCTAGACACAAACGTCTGACCTGTGGTCTCTGAGTGCCGTTCCCTTGAGTCCAGGCCTCCGGCGGGAGGGCAGGGCCCCTTGCTTTGACTGTTCCCAGGGTCAGGCCAAGGGGATGCACAAGGCCACACGGTGAGGCAGGAGTTCGGGTGGGACAGGGCTGTGAACTGGGGTGCCCACCCGTCCTGGAAAACAGGGCTGGAATGCCGCTGTCTGGGATGCCTCAGACAAGCTTGGTGGGCAACATGCTTAAGTGGGCAAGGGCCCCAGGCCACGTCCACCTGTCCCCGAGGCACATGAGCCCGAGATGGCGCTGGCCTCCTGCCCGGGCACGTGAGCCCGAGATGGCGCTGGCCTCCTGCCCGGGCACGTGAGCCTGAGATGGGGCTGGCCTCCTGCCCGGCACACTCGCTTCTGGCCACCCTTTCAGACATGCATTCCAGGGGCAGAATGTTCTGGGTAAGCTGAGGCCAGACACTGCTGGGCTGACTGTTACTTCCCAGAGGCTGTGGGGAAGAGGCAGCCTATTCTTCTGAAAATTGTCCAGAAACTTCCGGATTCTGCATGTGGCCCCCGTGCATCTGAATTGACCCCGCTAAGTAAATGCAACGTGGGTGCACCCAACACTGACAGCACACGTTTCTGAGGTTTCTGCATCGGCCACGCCTGTGGGCTCTGGACCTGGGTCTGGGGAAAAGCTGGCGAGCCACAGACATGAGATGGGGGCCATGGGGCAGGTGGGGGTCTGGGTAGAGACGGTGATGGGAGGGAGGGTTCACTGGCTGAGGGGCGGTGTGGAGATGACCTGGAAGGTCTGTGCGATGGGGGGTGAGGCAGGGTCACAGCAGAGCCGCTCCAGGGCCGTCCGTCCACGCACTTTCTGTGACACACGCTGACGGACACACAGTAGTGAGCAGGGTGGCAAGTGTCCCCACAGCGGGAGCTGCCCTCCTCCGAGAGTGGCACCAGGAGACGCCCAGGACCCATGGGACAGGGCTGGTTCTGGGAGGTTTGTGAATCCTCAGCTCCTCCCAGGAGGCCCTCCGGGCGGCTGCCCAGACCTATGTGGACTGGGAGACACTGGCTCAAGGGTGAGCCACAGGCACGGGCGGATGAGTCTGCCGCAGTCACAGGCCTGGGCACAGTGTGGGACGGCCCTCGTTTCCTCCAGTGGAGTCTTTATTTCTTTTTTGGGGGACACCTCCGGGACCCGCCCTGGAGAGCCTGCAACTGCAGAGCACTGTGGGGCGGGAGGAGCCTGAGCACTGGGGCCGGCCGCGAGGTCGGTGGTGACCAGGCAGACGTGGGCACGTGGGGCCGGCCGCGAGGTCGGTGGTGACCAGGCAGGGGTGGGCACGTGGGGCCGGCCGCGAGGTCGGTGGTGACCAGGCAGACGTGGGCACGTGGGGCCGGCCGCGAGGTCGGTGGTGACCAGGCAGACGTGGGCACGTGGGGCCGGCCGTGAGGTCGGCGGTGACCAGGCAGAGGTGACATCAGGGACGGTCTCCTTGAGCTGCAACAACTGGCCCAAGGCTGGGGACCTCACGTGGTGATTTCATCCCAAACAGTTTTTGTTCTACGTGACCTGATTTGGGGCATTCAGGCTTAAGGGAGGCCAGGTCTCGGACAGGCCCCCGCGGTGCTCGGTGTGAGGGAGACGTCTGCTGCTCCCCGCCAGACCCGCAGTCCGAGTGCCCAGCCCCTGGTGCGCGGGTCATGAGGGGTGGAAGCGTCTGATGAGTGCCTTCTTGTCAATCTTGCCCATCTGGTTCCGCGGGATCTCCTCCACCAGCACGAGCTCCGAGGGCACGGCGTACGGGGCCAGGACATCTCTGCAGAGACAAGCACAGCCTGAGACGCGTTGTCCCAACACTGCCCAGCGGTAGCTCAGGTGCCCAGCAGTGTGGACAGGTGCCCCTTGGACGCTGCAGCCTGGCCAGGCGCCTCGGCCATCCTGAGGCCTGGCATGCGTCCTGGGCAACCGCAGCTGTCTCTGCCCTAGCAGCCCAGGGTGGTGACTGCAGGAGGTGCCCAGCATGCTATTACCACTGGTACCACAGAAGTCATGGTGCATGCAGGCCTTGGGCGAGGGCACCCGAGGACAGGTCTGCACAGAGTGGCCTGTAGGGCAGAGGGACCCCCACACTGGGCCAGGCATTCCAAGACCCCGCACTGGAGCTGGAACGCCCCATGTCATTCTGTGGCCGGTTCCCCTTCCAGAGGAGGCATGTGGAAGGGGCTGGGGAGTGGGTGGGCAGGTGGGGCAGGGGCAGCCTGCCCTGCATGGGGTATTTGAGATGGGAGCAAATGCCCCACAGTCCTGCAGACACAAGCCCGCGTGGCAAGAGGCCTCACAGACCCCCACACAGCAGGGACAGCCCCTAAGGCTTGACACCTCCACTCAGGGTCCCCTGTGCCCATGGCCAGAACTCGGTGGGTGGTGCCAGGGCAGTGGGCGGGGCTGATGCAGGGGGGGTGGGGCCAGGGCGGTGCCAATGCAGATAAGCGGCCGAGGGCAGTGGGCAGGGACAAGGCGCTGGGATCGGAAGCTGAGGCTGCAGTGGTGCTCTGTGCTCCTCCATTCACCATTAAAGAAAGAAGGAAAGGAAGGAAGGAATGAGATTAACCCCCAAAAGGGGGGACAGCTGTGTGGCCTCCGCCCACCCAGCAATACCCTGAAGGCAGCGGCCACACTCCAGTTGCAGGAAGGGCTGGTTCAGGGCGTCCAGGCTGACACTGAGACGTGTCAGAAACGAACCTGACGGCGATTGTTCAGGTTACTGTCCAGCGGAAAAGTCCAGAAACCAAGTGTCGTGGTTTCTTGACGCTTTTTGTGGAGAAAGCGTTGCCTGCCATCCAGACGTGGCCAGAGACCCAGCACAGACCCCTGCCCACCTGCCCCTGCCCGTGGGCCTCTCGGGGCGGAGGTGCGAGTCGGCCCAGCCCAGTCCCTCCCTCCCCAGGGGCAAGTGGTTTGACGTTGGTGTCGCTGTCAACCTCGACCTCCACATTTCCAAATCGCTTTTTTCTTTTTTTCTCTTTTCTCTCTGGGACAGGATCTCACTGTTGCCTGGGCCGGAGTGCAGTGGTGCAGTCACAGCTCACCAAAGCCTGGACTTCCTGGGCTCAGAGAATCCTCCCAAAGTGCTACAGACATGTGTCACCACGCCCGGCTCCAATTTTCCTATCAAATTTATTTTGGCACGTACATATTTTATAGTTATATAAAACTATTATAGGTATTTAAATGGAGGTGTAATTTACACCCAGCTGTCCTATGTACAGTGTGGTGAGGGATGTGTAGAATTTTTTTTGTTTTGAGACAGAGTCTTGCTCTTGTCCCCCAGGCTGGAGTGCAGTGGTGCAATCTCGACTCACTGCACCTCCGCTTCCTGGGTTCAAGTGATTCTCCTGCCTCAGCCTCCTGAGTAGCTTGGATTACAGGCGCCCACCACCACGCCTGGCTAATTTTTGTCTTTTTAATAGAGACAGGGTTTCAACATGTTGGGCAGGATGGTCTCCAACTCCTGACCTCAGGTGATCTGCCCGCCTCGGCATCCCGAAGTGCTGGGATTACAGGTATGAGCACTGCGCCTGGCCTGTGTAGGAATTTCTCAAGTTTTACTGAAGCAACTGCCCCCATCTAAGTAGCGCCCAGACTGAAAGGGAACATGGCCGGGTTCCCAGAAGCCCCTCTGCCTGTCTGAGCCACTCCCAACCTCCACGTGTAACCAATGTCTTGACTTCTAAGAGCAGACAAACTCTGTGTTGAATGAGACTGGCTGGCAGTGGTGAGGGCGGACGCCCCTTCCTGGCCACAGGAGGAAAACGCCCAGCAGCTCGCCACTGAGCAGGATGTCAGCTGGTGGCTTTTCAGAGGCTCCCTCATCAGGTTCAGGTATTTTCCTTCTTCTCCTAGTTTGTGAAGAGTTTTTGTTATAAAAGGGCTTTGGCATTTGCAAATGCTTTTTCTGTATCTATTGAAATAATAAGATTTTTCTTCATTCTGTAAATATGGTGAATTACCAGTGGCTCACGCTTGTAATCCCAGGACTTTGGGAGGCTGAGGCGGGTGAATCACTTGAGGTCAGGAGTTTGAGACCAGCCTGGCCAACATGGCGAAACCCCATCTCTACTAAAAATACAAAAATTGGCTGTGCATGGTGGCACGCGCCTGTAATCCCAGCTGCTCAGGAGGCTGAGGCGGGAGAATCGCTTGAACCCCAGAGGCAAAGGTTGCAGTGAGTGGAGATCGCGCCACTGCACTCCAGCCTGGGTGACACAGCGAGAGTCCGTCTAAAAATAAAGGTGAATTACATGGACTGATTTTTGAAAATGAAAGTAACCCTCTATTCCTGGCTTAAATGCTGCTTGATCATGACGTGTTGTCTTTTTGTGCATTAATTGGATTTAACTGGCTAATGGTTTGTTAAGGATTTTGTGTGTCTGCCCATCGGGAACACTGTTCTCTCATTTTCTTGCACGGTTTGGATTTCAGGGTAGTGCTGGTCCCATAAAGGGAGTTAGGAATTGTTCCTCTCTGCTGTTGCGTCAGAGACTTATTTTGTTGCGTCTGGTTTTATTTTTTGCCTTCAACATTTGAGAGAATTTACCAGTGAAACCTTTTGGGCCTGGTATTTGCTTTGCAGTTTTAAATTGAGAACTCAGAACTGTTCAGTCTGTTTTGGTGTTTGCGTCAGTCTTGGAAATTTGTGTCTTTTAAGGAAGTTATCCGTTTCGTCTGAACTGCTGGCTTCGCTGGATTAAGCAGCCTGCAGCCTTCCACGCCGCCACGCTGCCCAGCAGAGACCGCAGGCCCGAGGCGAGGTTTCGCTTCCTTCCTGATATTTACAATGCTGTTTTCTCTCTTCTTTCTTGGGGTCTTCTTTCAATCTGAAAACTCATGACCTTTGGTTTGGGGAATATATATTGACTTTTTTTTTTTTTTTTTTTTTTTTTTTGAGACGAGTCTGGCTCTGTCGCCCGGCTGGGAGTGCAGTGGCCGGATCTCAGCTCACTGCAAGCTCCGCCCCTGGTTTACGCCATTCTCCTGCCTCAGCCTCCCGAGTAGCTGGGACTACAGGCGCCCGCCGCCTCGCCCCGGCTAGTTTTTTGTATTTTTTTAGTAGAGGCGGGGTTTCACCGTGTTCAGCCAGGATGGTCTCGATCTCCTGACCTCGTGATCCGCCCGTCTCGGCCTCCCAAAGTGCTGGGATTACAGGCTTGAGCCACCGCGCCCGGCCAATTTGACTGTTAATTTCTTCCCTGGATATCTTCTTTTTGGAACTCCCATTAGACAGCTGGAATGTTTAAATTAATCCTCTAATTTACTTCCTCCTGCCTCCCTTCCTGTTCTTTTTTCTTTCATGGTGAATGGACAAGCACTGCAGTGTCAGCCTAAGCCAGGCACAGCAAGGACGACTCAGGGCTGCAGGGGAGGTAGCTGTGGGCCAAGTACAGCAAGTGGCCTGGAGAGCAAGGGCCTGGCTCCAGGGCTCCTGTAGGACTGACGGAGTCCTGGGCTGTGACTGCACGGCTGGTGGCCTTCCCTGCTCGGTCCTGCCCCTCACAGGCGGCTTCTCACCAGCGGGCCCTCAAGTGCCCTGCACACAGCTTCCTGTCTCAGGGTCTTCTCACAGCCACTGTCATAGCCCAAACGATGCGGGATGAGGAGCCTGACTTCAGAGAGACGCACAGAGCAGGAGCGAGCGGCCTGGTGTTCCTGTGCAGAGGGCAGCCCTGTCTGAGGAAAGCCAAGGGCTGAGGAGCATCGGGACTTCAGTTCCTGCAAACTCGGACCCTGAAACTCTCTAGCACTCTCTCAGCACCCGACACCTATCTTTTCTTCTCAAGGTAACTGTTTAAGGAAAGCAGCAGCTGCTGCTGAGCGGCAGTGCTCCAGCTGTGTTGTGCAAACCCAGGCATGTGTGGTGCCCTGATGCTGCCCTGATGAAGCAAGGGTTCCTGTTGTCTGTGGAATCACAACGGACGAGCCAAAAATACCTTCAGTGCTCAGGAGAAGGCAAGTCAGGGTGGAGGCAGGGAGGGTGCGTCCAGAGAAGGAACAGAACAGAGACAAATGCTTGGTCTTAAATAATTTGCTGTAGGTGAGCTCTTCCTCCTCCTCCACCACGTGGGACATGCTGCCTCCCCTTCCCCTTCCACCATGACTGTAAGTTTCCGGAGGCCTCCCCAGCCACGCTTCCTTATAGCCTGTGGAACTGCGAGCCAATTAAACCTCTTTTCCTTATAAATTACCTTCTCAGGTAGTTCCTTATGATAGCAACAGGAAGCAGTCAAATGCCCAGATAGACAGGGGTGGGTCCCCAGTGAAACCCCACCTTCAAGCCAAAACACAGCCTGAAACCGGCAGCCCGGAGTGAGAATTTCTACTCCTGTTTGCCCACTCTTTCCGACTGGTTCTTTCTGAATAATGCTTTTTAACCAACCAAAGGTTACCTTTTCCAGCGCTACCTACAGCTTGCCCCTCCCCATTCTGTGCCCAAAAAAGCCCTGGACCCAGCCACACCCAACTCTAGGTGGTTGAGCACCCTTGCATCCCCTCTCCACTGAGAGCTATTTCATTGCTCAATAAAATTCTTCTCCACTCTCCTCACCCTTTGAACTGTCAGTGTAACCTCATTCTTCTTGGACGTGGGACACGAACTTGGGAACCAATGAATGCAGGTGTAAGCTATAACACAGGTGGGCTGAGCCAGTGCATAAGCCAAGCATCGCCCAGTTGGTTGAGTGGGTGGGTGCCTCTGTGGCAGGCCCGGGTTGGGGGCATTACCGGCCATGGAGGTCCCCTGCTGGCAAAGTGGCTGAGAAATATCCAGCATCATTTATAGCAATGTGAGCCTGGACTAATACAGAAAATTGGTACTGGGAAGTGAGGAATTGCTGTTAAGACAGCTGAAAATGTGGAAGCAGCTTTGGAACTGGGTAACAGGCAGAGGTTGGAATGATTTGGAGAGCTCAGAAGAAGACAGGAAGATGAGGGAAAGTTTGGAACTTCCTAGAAACTTGTTAAATTGTTGTGACCAAAATGCTAATAGTGATACGGACAACGAAGTCCAGGCTGAGGTAGACTCAGATGGAGATGAGGAACTTATTGGGAACTGGAGCAAAGATCGCTTTTGTTAAGCATGAGCAAAGAGATGACCTGAAACTGGAACTTACATTTAAAAGGGAAGCAGAGCATAAAAGTTCGGAAAATTTGCAGCCTGACCATGTGGTAGAAAAAAAGCCCCCCAGTTTTCTGGGGAGGAATTCAAGGCAGCTGCAGAAATGTGAGTAAGTAAAGAGGAGCCGAATGTTAACTGCCAAGACAATGAAGAAAATATCTCCAGGCATGTCAGAGACCTTCATGGAAGCCCCTCCCATCACAGGCCTAGAGGCCTTGGAGGGAAGAATGGTTCTGTGGGCCACTGCTCTGAGGGACACTGGCCCCTGCATCCCTGTTGCTCTGGGGCTTAAAGGGCTCCAGATACAGCTCAGGCCACTGCTCCAGGGCAGTGAAGAAGAGAAAGATGGGGCTGGAGCCCCCACACAGAGTCCCCACCGGGGGCCCTGGCTACTGCAGCTGTGAGAAGAGGGCCACTGTCCTCCAGACCCCAGAATGACCCACCGACAGCTTGCACCATGTGGGGCACCTAGAAAAGTTGCAGGCACACAACAGCAGCCCATGAAAGCAGCATGGTGGCTGTACCCTGCAGAGGCACAGGGGTGGATACCCATGGCCTTGGGAGCCACCTCCTTGCATCGGTGTAGCCTGGATGTGAAACATGGGTCTAAGGAGATTTTGGGGCTTTAAGATTTATTGGGCCGGATGGGGTTGCTCACGCCTGTAATTCCAGCATTTTGGGAATCTGAGGCAGGTGGATCACTTAAGGTCAGGAGTTCGAGAGCACCCTTGACAACATGGCAAAATCCTATCTCTACTGAAAAATACAAAAATTATCTGGGTGTGGTGGTGCATGCCTATAGTTCCAGCTACTTGGGGAGGCTGAGGTAGGAGAATAGCTTGCAGGCAGAGGCTATAGTAAGCTGATATCACGCCACTGGACTCCAGCCTGGGCATCAGAGCAAGACTCTGTCTCAAAAAAAAAAAAAAAAAACCAAAAAAGAAAAAAACAAAAAACGATTCGGTGACTGCCTTGCTAGGTTTTGGACCTGCCTGGGGCTCACAGCCCCTTTGTTTTGGCTGACGTCTCTCTTTTGGCACTGGTGTATTTACCCAATGCCTGCACTCCCACTGTATTGGGAAGCAACTTGTCTTTGGTTTTACAGGCTCATAGGTGAAAAGAACTTGCCTTGTCTCAGACGAGACTTTGGACTGTGGACTTCTAAATTAATGCTGAAATGAGTTAAGACTTGGGGGACTGTTGGGAAGGTAGGATTGTATTTTGCAATGTAAAAAGGACATAAGATTTGGGAGGGGCCAGGGAGGATTTGGATTTGCGTCCCCACCCAAATCTCCTGTTGAATTGTGATCCCCACTGTTGGAAGAGGGACCTGGTGGGAGGTGACTGGATCACAGGGGTGGATTTTCCCCTTGCTGTTCTCGTGATAGTGAGTGAGTTCTCACAAGAACTGGGTATTTGAGAGTGCGTGACCCCTTCCCTCTCCCTCACTCTGTGACCCCTACCTCCCCACCCTGCTCTGGGGGCCCTCACTCCCTCCTCGCTCGGTCTGTGGCCCCTCCTTCCCGCCGCGTTCTGTGGCCCCTCCTTCCCCCCTCGTTCTGTGGCTCCTCCTTCCCCCCGCGTTCTGTGGCTCCTCACTCCCCACTCGCTTGCCCTGTGGCCCCGCCCTCCTCCTTTGCTCACTCTGTGGCCCCTCCCTCCCTCCCTCGTTCTGTGGCTCCTCCTTCCCCCCTCGTTCTGTGGCTCCTCCTTCCCCCCTCGTTCTGTGGCTCCTCCTTCCCGCCGCGTTCTGTGGCTCCTCACTCCCCACTCGCTTGCCCTGTGGCCCCGCCCTCCTCCTTTGCTCACTCTGTGGACCCTCCCTCCTCCCTCGCTTGTTCTCTCCTGCTCCAGCCATGTAGGATGTGCCTGCTTCCCTTTTGCCTTCCGCCATGACTGTAAGTTTCCTGAGGCCTCCCCAGCCAGCTTCCTGTACAGCCTGTGGAACCATGAGCCAATTATACCCCCTTTCTTTATAAATTAAAAAAAAAAAGAAAAAGAATTTGCTGTAGGTGAAACTAAAAGCTTCCTTTCTGAGCTCAGCCTGGTTCTGTCCTGACGGCCTTTGACGAGGCCACAGCTTAGGTTCAGCCCTGGGTCTGACCACCAGCACTGCTGGCAAAGGGGAAGGGTCTGTGGATCCCATGCATCAGAAACCACCAGGTGTGAGACAGGTGAGAGAAAGCCCTTGGGGAAAGGTTCTGGGTAAGGTAAAGGCAAAACAAAAAACGCAGGTGAGTTTACAGACTGGGTGGTGGCCGCTGTTGAGGAACGGGCCCTGCCCTGGGTGTGAGGGGAAAGTGAAATGAGTGAGGGGATGGTGCTGGGGTCTCCATGGAACTGACTGGAGGTGTGTGAGGCACCTTGAAGACCAACCCCCAGGGCAGGAGAGGGAGAGGCCGTGCAGGTGCCAGCGGAGAATGGGTGGGCCTTGCGGTTCTGCTGGGGCCCAGCACTGGCTTTGGGGCAGCGAGTGGACAGGCTGCCCGTGGCCTGGTGGGGAAGGGCCCAGTGTGTGCGGTCAGGTGGTGTCAACCCTGGATCTCAGCTCCATGCACCTCCTGCATGGGCCTGGCCTGGCTCATTCGGGATCTCTCCTGGGACTAGGACGGAACCCACCACAGGCCTCACAGGGCCCTGTCCCAGGAATGTGAGTTTCTGCCCCCTCGGAATGTTGCCACCAAGTCGAATCTGAGCACGGCTCCTGCCCCCTGCCCTCATCTCTGCCCCCTGTGTGTGGCCTTCAGGTCTCTAAGGACCCTCACTGCTGGTCTTTCTTTTTTTTTTTTTTTGAGACGGAGTCTCGCTCTGTCACCCAGACTGGAGTGCAGTGGCCGGATCTCAGCTCACTGCAAGCTCCGCCTCCTGGGTTCCCGCCATTCTCCTGCCTCAGCCTCCCGAGTAGCTGGGACTACAGGCGCCGCCACCTCGCCAGGCTAGTTTTTTTTTTTTGTATTTTTTAGTAGAGACGGGGTTTCACCGGGTTAGCCAGGATGGTCTCGATCTCCTGACCTCGTGATCCACCCGTCTCGGCCTCCCAAAGTGCTGGGATTACAGGCTTGAGCCACCGCGCCCGGCCTGCTGGTCTTTCTTGATCCCTCACCTCCACCTCTACGACGGACGATGCCAAGACCTAGGGTGGCCCTCACCCCCGGGCCCCAAGACCCCATGAGTGCCCCCTGCCCACCCCGCCCAGCCCTACCTGGCCCACTCTTTGAGCTCCCTGTGGGACAGTGAGTGTCCTTCTCGGAGGGTCACCACAGCAGTGACCCGCTGGCCCCATGTCATATCCGGAACTCCAATCACCGCCACATCTGTGGACAGAAGAACAGTTTGAGGACATGGGAATGCTTCAGTGACTCTCACAGGCCGGAGAGTGCCTGGACGCACAGGAAGCACGCAGTCTGGCCGCAGCCCTGGAGCCTGTCCTTGGGGAGGCCCCACTCCGATCACCCATCCTGGTGCTGGCTGGTCCTGTGGGGAGGGAGTAAGGATGGGCTCCCCACGGTGGATCTGGTGGCTGGGCACTCACAGGGGCTCTGCCTTCCCACCCCTTGGCTCTCTGCACTCTCCCTGCACAGGCATCATGCAGATGGGAGCTGCGCCCAGTCAGGCCTGGGAGCTCCAGTGGACATGGGGTCAGTGGCTCCAACACTGAGCAGGCTGCACTCCCACTAGCCCCATGTGCCCTGGCCAGGGCAGGGAGCAGAGGTGAGTGTCACAGGGACTCCTGCAGGCAGCTGGGACAGCGTCGCCTCATCCGTGATCGTCTAAAACTCAAGCATGGAAGGCAGCACCCGTCTCGCCTGGCCACCCTGGCGCAAGTCCAGCCACACACCTGTGATGCTGGGGTGGGCCAGCAGGTGCCACTCCACCTCCAGGGCGCTGACCTTGTAGCCTCCAGTCTTGATGATGTCCACTGAGGTCCGGCCTCGTATCCAGTACTGGCCGTCCTTAAACACCACGGTGTCCCCTGAGGAAAGGGGGCTCTGGTTAACTGGATATCCTTAAACACCACGGTGTCCCCTGAGGAAAGGGGGCTCTGGTTAACTGGACGTCCTTAAACACCACGGTGTCCCCTGAGGAAAGGGGGCTCTGATTACTACCCTGTGGCAACTCCAATGCGGAAGCAGCTATGCCAGGTAAGCCCACATTCCTGGTGGTCGTGACGCGCATCCCAAGGTGGGACTGTGCCCATGAGGTGGGGTCCCATCCCCACGCTCAGCTGTATGCAGTTCCTCCAGGTCAGGTCAACAGTGGGCCCAGAGCCTGCAAGGACCCGGAGGTGCCAGGAGCCCTGCTGGGCCCATGGTCTGCAGACACCCTGCATTAGTAAGCCGGCTCAGGACCTGTTTCTGTCACAGTGATTGATAACCACTGGTCATGGTGGGACACATGGCCTTTTCTAAGCAACAAGCACAGGGTCGGATGCTTTGACCCTCCCTAAGGATGGATGCCAGGGTGTGCTGGGCCTCCTGGCTGTGCTGCTGCCGCTGCAAAGGCCCCCAGACGGCACCCCTGGGACTGCAGCGCCCCTCACGCAGGTAGGCTCTCGGGGAGGGGCCAAGACCCACCAGGCCCTGTCCTGCCGTCTCTCAGGCCCACAAGAGAATCCAGACCAAATATTCATAAACCAAGTGAACCAGACACCTTACAACATCCACCACGGTGGGGTCCAGCAGTGACTGTCTAGCCCCTCTGGATGGGAGAGGCGCCACTGGTGGCTGAGGACAGGGCCTTGCCTGGGTGCCTGGAGCCTCCTGCTGGTGCCCGTCTTTTGCCCTCCGCACCTGACCATGCTGGTCCTAGGACAATGGCCGGGGCTGCCCCACACTTTCATTCCTGGAGCCCTCCTGTGGGCACTGAGCTTCCCCCATTTCTTTCTTCCTCGAGTAGCTCAACACAGACACCACCAGCCACTGAGGGTGAGAAGTCCAGGAGAGCAGGCTGCAGCCTCAGAACCTGCACTCCCAGCCCGAAGATGTCTCATGACGAATGGGCCCATGGTGCGCGTGCCCGCGAGTGTGTGTGCAGGCGTGGGTGTGTGTGCAGGTGTGGGTGTGTGTGCAGGCGTGGGTGTCTCTGCAGGCGTGGGTGTCTCTGCAGGCGTGGGTGTGTGCGCAGGCGTGGGTGTGTGTGCAGGCGTGGGTGTGTGTGCAGGC